AGGGTGTATAGGCTTGGTTGAGTCCGTAGAAAAATTTCCCTACTATTTAAGTGTTTCGATGATGGTATCAAAGATTTTAAGGTCAGTTTCTCGTGCTTGATGCACTGGTAAAAATAAGTTTTCTTTTATTACTAATACAGCTGTGTATGTTGCTTAGTTTTGATGTCTTAGAGCTGCTACAGATTACTGCCTCTAAATATAGTAAATGCTTTACAGCATTGTATCCTTTTCATTTTCATTATGCAGCTGCATGGATTTCATTTGAATGGTTAAATTTTCAGGCAGTTCTTTGGTTAATGTGTTGATTAAAGTTTAAGTAGATGCTTTTCTTCTTGCTACACCTTAGAATTATTATCTCATGGTCATACTTACAAAGTCCAACTTTCTAATTGTGTGTCAGTGTGCATCTGCAATCGATAACTTGGCTGCTTTCTATTTCAACAACATAACCATGGGGGAGGCGCCTACTTCACCAACTGCAATTAATCTTGCCAGGAACCTTGCAGAATGCCCCAGATTGCTTCCAGAAGTAAGTGACGGATTCTTCAAGACAAGGTTTTTCTTGTGCGGCAGTTCTCTTGTTGTCCAAAGACTACCCTCATTTTTCACTGTGGCAACCAGTACATTTGCTTTAAAAGTTATTTCCTCCTAGTTACTAATTTCCTATTATCATCGGGATTATTTTGCAGTAAATTTGGGGGTAGAAAGTACTTGCTGAATTCTTTTTCTAGGCTGGTGTCAAATTGTTTATATTGGTTTCCATCAATGTGGAATTACAAGATGAGTTTTTGTTGGATGAAATCACTTACCTGAAATTGGCTTTGAAACATTAATTAAATGATTATATAATACGTGTCATCATGCAAGGACGAACATTCTACCCTAGTGCTGGCAAATATTGATTGTTAACTCTGTGGCATGACACTGCAAATTGTTGATGATCTGTACATGCACTTAAATACAGTTTCTAATAGAAAAAGATTAAAAAATAAAATGTGAAGTTTTTGCAAGGTAAATCACATGCCGTTATTGCACATATCATTAAAATCTATTCCACTTGATCGAAAGTAAACAAGGGCATTATGTTAAAGATGCTCCATGCCTGACTACTTGTACCAGATTGAAGCACTGAGCAACCTCTGTGATAATTCATGGACTTCCATATGTGCTTATAGCTCGATTAACTTGTATTCTCTCTGTTCCATAAAGGTTGTTGGGATTGACTTTTTCCAACAAAATCAGAAAAGTCAAAAAATTGTTTTCTTTTTCTTAAGGGGCAGAGCAGGAAAAAAATTAACTTATTTGACTTTTAGTATAAGACGAGTATTTTGGACTGGTAGCAGTCTTAAACTAGACATCCTTTGTGGACAGAAAGTATACAAACATTTGCATGAATACGGGCAGTTAAGCTTGCATTTGGACTCATTACCTGCCAAGTGGGCAACTATGTAGCGTAAGATTGCTTATGATTTTCTTATTCTGATGAGTAATATCTCAATGTTAAAGATTGTTTTGAAAATGTTAATCCTTGCTTTCCATGTAATGACACATTCAAATAAACTTGTCTTTGTGCTTTTATATGTTAATCTAGTTTTTAGCTTCCTTTTTCAGATATTAAAAACTCTCTTTGAGATTGTTTTATATTCGGACTGTGGCAACCAATGGAGTCTTAGCAGGCCAATGTTGAGCTTGATACTCATAAGTGAGCAGGTGATTATGGTTGACTATTCCTCTCTCTCTCTCTCTCTCACTTCTTCTGTAGTGTGTTTTCTATGGAAATAACTTTTAATTATTGTTAGACATCTATAACTCAGTTTTTAATTGGGTGTGCTGACACAAGAATACTAAGATGGATATGTGTAAAACAGGAAGAGATAGTGAGAAATGAGCTGTCTGTTTTAGTTTCTGTTAAGAATTTCTTCTTATTTGCTTTGAATTAACCATACTTGCCAATGGATCTAAAGGACAATGATATGTGTGCAGATGTTTACGGACTTGAAAGCTCAAATTTTGGCTTCACAGGTATATCTCTATGCTATATTACCACCGTGACAATATTGGCAATTGCAATCTATTAATTAGTGGCCACGATTGCAGAGCATTGATTAGTTTCTATTTGTCATTGTTTGGCTGTTACAGTTCTTGATGTAGATTGTCAATCTGAATTTGTCCTTATCTCTAAAAATGGTTGCCAAAAATTACAAAATTCCTAGCCAACTGAAGTATCTGTAAAGATGATGATTTTCTATTGAAACTAGTTTTGCAATAATAGTAGTTCTGTTATTTCAATGTTATTCTAAGGAGAAATAGAAGAAAAATAAACCAACTGCTGAAGTATTATACCTCAATATCTGCCAACTAATGAATATCCTTGCTCAGCTGCTAAATTGCTTTCTGCTGAACAACATAAAGGGCTGGTTGTAAAATCGTGCATCTAATGCAGAAAGTATAATTATTGTTGCTGGAGAGTGTAATATTTGCTGAAGCTTTTGGGAAGTCCTTGTATCTGTTGCGCTTGTGTTCACTTGTTATCTGCATCCTTTTGTTTTCAGCATGTATAATGCATTGGCTGTTATCCGTACTCCTTGGTGCATTCTTCATTCGTGAAGTGATGTTGTGAAACAGTGACACGTGAAACTATAGTTATTCAGCCTATGTCCCTATATGTTTCCAAATTGATAAAATTTTCTGTCATTTTGCAGCCGGCTGATCAACATCAGCGCCTTTCTCTGTGTTTTGACAAATTGATGGCCGACATTACTCGAAGCTTGGATTCAAAGAACAGGGACAAGTTTACCCAAAATCTCACCATATTTAGGCATGACTTCCGTGTGAAGTAGTTAGTGCATCCCTTGCGTGACCCTGCATTAGTATGATGCAAACTTGATCCATATTGTGGATGGGTTCACTGAACTTTACCTCTCTGGAATCGAGAGGTAGTGGTGGTTGAATGGCTCTTCTGCATGTTGAGACCTTCTATTTACGAGTAAATCGGTCCCAGAGAAATGAGTTGAATCCATGGTATTGTACATTCGTTTTTGAATTGGTGGCAACTTGTGACATAGACTAATAGCATCAGAATAGGATTTTTCAGGCTTATGGCAGGCAGGTGAAATTGGGTTTTTGGTTTGATGGCTGATGTATTTTTGGAAGTTTCATCAGTTTGAAGGGGGGTTGTGCATTCATCTTATTCTTTTAGTTGTGGATGATAGAAAAAGAAAATTAAAAGACATTTTGTACAAAATATTACTCTATATCCATGGTTTTTAGTCGTGGAACTTAAATTCAGATTATGTAATAGAAAAAATGAGGGTTAGTTTTACCCATAAAAAAAAAAATTGAGGGTTAGTTTGATAGTTTCAAGTTATGTTGCCATTTTGTTTGGGTTTGCATAACGTCTTGACAATAATGTATTAGTGTGAAATAATGTAATGTGCTTGAACATGTTTTCTCAACTTTTCATTGCTATTGTTATTGCCATTTTATAGAAAAATAATTAAGATTGCGATAGAATGCTACTATTTTTCAAAATTGAAATTCATGATTTAGTTCAGTGATCACCTATTTTTCATCGATCATTATTACTTTTTACAACTTTTCTAACTAGCTATTTAACTT